GCAAATTAACTGCTGTTGGTGTGAAAATACACCAGGTGTCATGGTGGGCAGAGGTCAGAGGCCTAATAGCCCAAAGTAAGCATGGCCAGGGTTAAAGGAACAGTGTGGTGGAAGCAGTGCTGGTGGCACAGGTAACTGAGCGTGATGGGAGTGAAATCTAATGGTTGCAGTGATGCTGAGCCTATGAGGGTAATGAAAGGTTACGGATATGGCTGAAGGAGTTCAAATTAATGGTGAAAAATGATAACTGTAAGTGCCTCAATGATTTGGCTAAATTATGCCTTGCAGTACCCTAAATTATAAATATATGTGATTGTCAAGTCATTTGTGTCTCAGTAAAACACATAATCATTTAAAACACACATAATTCAAATACTGTATTTCTTTGAGAGGGCTCATTTTCTTGTTGAGTCATTCGCCCTCTAGGTGGGGACTGTAAGAAATTGATATTCCAAACTGCAATATTGTATATAACTTTCTGTGTATGTGACTGGTTTCACAAGTTGGGGTCATTTACTTGATAACAGTGTGATAAGGATTAAAGCTTTCAGTTGCATTTTACAACACCCAGCTAAAACAAAAGCTTACATCCCTCCAGTATTCCTTGCATGTTATCAGGAGATCAGAGTAATAGACATCTAGGTGAAACCATGGAAGTGTGTGTTTTCCCAAGCAGTCTAACCCACCCAGAAACCAACCCTAACTGGTCACTTCTTTCAGAACGTTACAGTATAGCTGGAGGGAAGAGATCAAAGGGAAAGACTTGTGTAAAGACAGAACTCTCTGGAGAAAGAGGGCGGGATAAACCACTTTTGGGAGGGAAAAGGGATTCTGGGACTTGTAGTTTATTACTCCAAGAATCAGTCTTTAAAAGGACAACAACCAAGGAAGGCTCTCTCTCTTTTCTCTCTCTCTTTGGAGAGGACAACGCAGCAAGCAGGGCCATGGTGAACTGAGAGAGGCTGTCCCAGATTACCCAAGATGAAGGCGCAAGGGGAAGACCTGCATTTACATGTTTAAGTATTGCCCTTTTATTATGTAGCTTTTGATTATGTACCGGATATAATGTATAATGTATATTGTGTATATCCTTTTAAAATCTAACAGTATCCTTAAATGAATATTTACAATAGATTTTATTATACACTTGTGTTTATGTCTTATTTGTCACACATTCCCTAAAAGAATATCCTTGTAAGAGGGTCATAATTTCTTACACCAGCTTTAATGGTAGCCCCAATGGCATGGTCGATAGTGGCGTAATGTAGTGAAAACTCTTCAGATGGTATAAGTGAATTTGGGCTAGGGACCGTGGAGGAATGTGGTGCGGATAAATCAATGATCAGCCTGGGTTTAAGTGAGTTTTTCCCCGTGACAATCCCAATGGGATTGGTTCTCCAAGAATTGAAGGGTGGTGAAAGGAATGGACCCAGCAAAAACCTTGTTTCACCTCGGTTGTGATAAGTTTATGTACCAGCTGTGGGTCATCCCGTGTGGAAAGTAAGTTGTCACATTCCAGTGTGCCTGTAGGTAAATGTATCAACCCTGTGTGAAATCCCTCCGATAATCCTGTTATGAGATAGTCGCTGAAGTGTCGTGATGGGTGTAGACGTAGCAAATTGGTGAATAAGCTGAGGTTCACGCATGTGAGGTAGGGTTTTGGGAAAGCTTTATTTGGGCACATTGTCTTGGAATGAGCCCTGAAACAATGTGAATAAACATGCATTAGTCTACAGGAACTAAAACCACAATTGCCAGCATTAAAATTGTTACATACTTGGGATTTCCCTAAGAAGACAATATCTCTTCCTAGTTTGTCTTTCAAACCTTTATTTGATCTTGGGGGGTTAGTTGCTGCTTGGTTTTGTTCTACCTCAGCTGTATTAGGGCAGACATTTGTGCTGTGGGTTGCTGATGAGCATACTGCACAAGTTGGGGGGCTGAGGCCTGCAAAGTGCCTACAGAATAGCTCAGTGTCCAACTTGCTCCAATTGATGTTTAAGTTGAACTGAGCCAGAGCTGCTGCCACTTTTGCAGAGAAGGAACGATGGTAATCGTAAAACGCTGTACCACCGTATTTGTGTCCCAGATCCACCAACTTGTGCATGTACGTATCCAGCTCGGCTCTTTTCCCTGGGTATACAGTGCAATATACATCCCTATAAATGCCAAACCCTAATACAAATTCTGGGATGTTCAATTTTTTGTTCAGGCGAGGGTCTCTAGCTCTAAGGACTACGAAATATCCCCACAAGCAAAGGTCCTGTTCTCAAGGACATCCTGGGAGGCAATGAGCAATGAAGCTAGGTTAACGTCCTTGCCTTCCAGAATGTCCTTTTTAAGGTGAGCTGGGACCATGTGTGAAGGATCAATAGATTCTATATCAGCCGTAGCTGCCAGGGTATTACCGGGTAAGGTATTAGCAAGAGGCTGGAGTGGTGACCATTGCATTTGTTGTGGACTGAGTAACACTACCGGCCTCCAATTTGTCCAGCCTGTCACTAATTGTCCCTATGGATGCCATAAGGGACGTCATCATAGCATGAAATGCTGGCATTTGTGATCTGCTAGGGCCTTCCCCTGCCTCGGAGTTGTCAGTGGTAGTGTATAATAGCCTATACAACTCCGCCTTCCTAGCTGTAGCCGGGAAAGGGATGCAGCGTCTTCTTAGTTCAGCTGTAAGACGTGGTATGGTCCACGATCTAAGGGATGCAGGGCTATTCACGTCTGTACCCGGAACAGGGGTGGCAGGCCTAGCGGGTGTGCTAGGTAGTGATAGCTCTTCAGGGATATCAGGCGTTAGTGACATAACTGAAATTATAAATATAAATAGTCAGTCGTATAAAAAGTTTTGTGGGTGGGTACTGGTGGGCTAGCTAAATACCAAGCGGTGAAACAATTAAGCTTCTTTTGAGCGTGACAGATGAGACCCTGCTAGTTGCCAAGCGGCTTGAGAGGCACTATCTATGCGTGGGCCCAAGGGGAAGATTGAGGCCACTGAACGTTGTGGCGGAGTGTAGGCCTCTCGGTGTCATTTAAAGCATAAGAAAGATTGGGAGTGACAGGTGAGGCCCTCTCTTTGTATTGATGCGAGGCGGCTAGCTATGATTTGGCCCGAGGGACGTATTACCTCCGAGTGTGAAGTTAGGGATGTTGGCCTCGCGGGACCGCTAGCCTATGGATTAAGACCAGAAATATTTTAACTAATTGGGCCACCTAACCTAGGACCAGTACCCCTCAAATATTTTAGGGAATATTGGGTTCTGGCGTAGTACCTGAAAGTGAGTCAGGCTGATCTCTCAATGACGTAACTGTGATATTTGTCGGGTAGTTGACCTGTAGGTATAAGATGATACGTAAATATCTGAAAAATGGGGTGGTAGTTAGGCCAGATCGTGGACCAGAACCTACCCGATAACTGCGGAGGAGATATAACCAAAGAAACCGGCTCCTTGCTTGTAAAAGCTACCGTTCCAATGATTAAACCTAGGAGAGTAAATTATAAATTTTACCTAAAATCATATGTTTATATGGTCATTTATATGAATCATATGACAATGTTACCAACCTATAAAGTATAAATGATACCGATCTCTGGGTCCCCAAAATTTTAATATGAATTCTGGTAAGGAAACCTGTTGGAAGATGTCAGAAATCAGGATTGAATTAAGTGTAGCATAATTTAAAAGTTTTTTTTTTTTTTTTATGGTGCTATATCATTATTGACCGGTAGGGGGCGAGATTCCACCTAAGAAGTGGATGCAGGATCTTGTATAATTAGTGAGAAATGCACGAATTTAAGTCGAATGTGATGACAGTATATAATGACTACCTTTGTTTGGTAGAAATCCTAAGTATCTGGCCGAATGCAGCGTTCGTATGAATGCTAAAAACATGAATTACATAGCTTAGCGGCGAAATGTATTTAGACGAAAAAGTACCGAATGCGGTTGAATGCGAATGGGGCTCCGCCGTGTAAGCCGTGAATACGAATTGGTTTGCTTTACGGCGGGCCCAACTTACGTTTTTTGGCGGCAGCAGTACCGGGGAAGCTGTGCGGACGACGGTGGCGGCGGGAAAAGAGCCCTGGAGAGCCCGGACCACTCAGGAGGGCACCGGACCAGGAGACCACGAGGAAACAGGTAAGAGGAATCCAAGATGGCGGTCTGAACCGGAAGTAACGTTTCAGACTCGCCAGACCATTACGGTAATGTGGGAGTGGATTGGCAGCCCTTTTATAGGGAAACCAAGCCCCTCCCACAACTACAGGCCAAGTCTTTTAATAAATAAATTATATATATATATATATATATATATATATATATATATATATATATATATATATACACACACACACACACATACAGAGACACATACAGACACACAAATACACACACAGACACACAATGACACCTAGTTTTCCACACATAGATACACACACACAGACACACAAATACACACACACTGACACAAAAGGACACACAGATACACATACACGCAGAGAGAGGAGGTGAGGGTGACAGTGTGGGAGAGAGAGTGTACTGGTAACAGTGTGGGGGGTAAGATGAGAAAGGGTTACAGTGGGAGGGCAGGGGGAGAAAGAGTGACGGTGGGCAAGCAGGGGGAGAAAGGGTTACAGTGTGGGGGGCAGGGGGAGAAAAGGTTACAGTGGGAGGGGCCGGAAGTGAAGGGGTTACAGTGTGGGGAGGGGGGCCGGGAGTGAAGGGGTTACAGTGTGGGGAGGGCAGGGAGTGAAGGGGCAGGGGAGTGAAGGGGTTACAGTGTGGGGAGGGCGATGAAGGAGTTACAGTGTGGGGGGGTCATGAGTGAAGGGGTTACAGTGTGGGAGGGGGCGGAGTAAAGGGTCACAGTGTGGGCAGGGAACAGGAGTGAGAAGGGGTTACATTTGGGGAAGGCAGTGTGGGGGAGGGAAGGGGTTACAGTGTGGGGAGGGGGGACACGAGTGAAGGTGTTACAGCAGGGTTGTCAAACATGCGGCCCCCCAGATGTTGCTGAACTACAACTCCCATGATTCCCTGGCTCTGTTTCATTGAAAGAATCATGGGAGTTGTAGTTCAGCAACATCTGGGGGGCCGCATGTTTGACAACCCTGTGTTACAGTGTGGGGAGGGGGGCCGGGAGTAAAGGGGTCACAGTGTGGGCAGGGGGAACGGGAGTGAAGGGGTTACATTTGGGGGAGGGCAGGGAGTGAAAGGGTTACAGTGTGGGGAGGGGGCCAGGGAGGGAAGGGGTTACATGGGGGAGGGCAGGGAGTGAAGGGGTTAGATTGTGGGGGGCTATGTCCTACCTTTCAAAAATTCCCTGGTGGTCCAGTGGGGTAACTCTCCGGTCTGCAGCTCCACCGGGTGCAGAGCTGCAGACTGTGTAATAAAAGTCTCGCGAGCTCCCAGAGTGTTGCCATGGTAACGCTCTGGGTGTTCGCAAGACTTTTATCACACAGTCTGCACTCGGCAGAGCTGCAGACCGGAGGTGCTGGGCCGACTGATTGGAGGGAGCCCGGCGGCATACAGGGCAAGCCGCCGGGCTCCCTCCTGGTGTCGGGCTCGTCATGGACCGAGAGCCTGACTTATCAGTCTGCCTGAGTCCCCGGCGGCCCTGGATGTGTGGGTCAGCGCAACCCACTGGGAATCGCCCTGCGACCCACACTTTGGGAACTGCTGGTTTAGGAGATATTCCCCTTTCAGATGCACAGGCAGCTACTGCAATCACCAATCTCCCGAACTGCAAACACACAAATTCTCCAACTCCCGAACTGGAACCATACAAATCCTCCAACTCACGAACAGGAAACACACAAATGCTGTTAAACAGCCGAACAGGAAAAACCATACGAACAGCTTACACTCCTGGCAGTCGCACTGTAACAGCATACAATCCAATTCCCCCCAAGAACGAGACGACACTTCGTTTGAGGATCAAGCAGAACTGGTTTACTGGGGCTACCTGCCTGGCTTTTATGCAGGTCTACCACCTGGTGGACACTCCCCTAGGGGACCAGATCGAAGACTGGGATACAGGACAGACACTGACCAATTACAGACATTGTATTCCCTCCTCTCTAACCTGGAGATAATTGGGAAGTAATCCAATTATCTCCAAGGACAGAGGCAAGACTCCATTAACCACATGGCAGACAAAGGACAATAAAAGACATTAAAATATACAATGTTACATTTATTACATAAAATACACACATGTAACATATCCCCAGATAGCTTAGATCTGAGCGCACATTATTACTGAATGGCGCTCAGATCTCACACATGCAGTTCAATTGCCATGGAGCCAAAGTCCCTTATTACACGAATAGACTCCATGGCATAGCTATCTGGGTTAAAGCATTCACATAGTTAAAGTCCCAATTGATCCGGCGTTCGGCTAAACGACCGGAGCTAGAAGCAGGAAAGGCTGGCTGCTCAGCGGTGTTCACGAGTAAAAGTGTCCATTTTTAG